ACATGCACATAAAAAAAATACTTAAAAAATAATTAATTAATAAATAAAGTTGAAGATTATAACAGACAATAAATGATAAGGTAATTTTACAAATAGAGAAGCTAATTAAAAGAGATATATACATTTATGTCTCACTGTATAATTTAATTTCTACCTACCGGTACATTTATTCGTTTATTGGATTTTTGAGGGGCAATTAGTTGCTTATTTATTTATTGAGTATTTATTTATTTCTGTATTTATTTTTATATATGGCAGAGTTGGTCCTCCATATATTCAAGCACGTCCCTGTTATTATAAATCACAACGTCAAACTGACAGCAAACCAGCTTCCTATTTGCTGCTGTTTTTTCTTTCTTCCTAAATTAATAAAGCAGGGGGTCCAGGCTGTAACTTGGTGTAGGGCAGACCGTTGTCTGATGTAATCCAACAAAACTCCACAGCACTGAAAGTTTTAAAATGTAACTCGTTATGGTCCAGATAATCTTCTGTCTAGCTGCTAAAGAGGGGCTAAGCATTGAACTGAGGGTACTATGAATCATCCTATATTTTTTAATGCACACAGACATAGGTGGCTCTAAAGAGGGACAGCAGGGGCCTGTGCCCCTATATAGCTGGTCCTGGCCCCTGTTGGTGCCTATACTGAAGATCTAAGAAAAATACTAATAATAGTCATATTCTTAACAATTCTCATAGTCATAGTCTTATCAAGATACAATTACAGTTTTCATTTCAACTGTAAAGTATTATAAAAGTAAATACTCAAAATTGTTACAGCTGAAACAAAACACTTTTACTTCAGTTCTGATTTTCATTTGATTAAAACTGTTAATTTGCATGTAAAGTAAGTCAAAGCATGTAATATTGATAAATAACAAGTAGACATTGATCTAATATTAAAAATAATGGCTTTATTTCATATTTTAGTAGATATTTATTTAGCCACTAATTATTATCTTTTTTCCCATTGTAAGAGTTTTTATTTTTTATTTTAGGTAAGTGAAGTTAATATTTTCAAGCCAAAAATACATATTTTGAATTAAACAACATCAAATTTCAATTAAATTAAAGGATGCAGAAATTTGTATTTGTTCAGGGCAGAACCACAAGTTTATCTTTGCTTCTACAGCTCACTGAATATATTTTAGATGATAAATTATTGCCCAGTTCTTTGTTTAATCCTGTGCCCCCATGAAAAAGCGCCCTCTCCACCCTGGCCCCTCCTAGTAAATATGGTCTAGAACCACCACTGCACACAGATGCAAACCACGACAGAAGTGTGTTCACTACTCTTAGACATAATGATAATTTGGTGTTCTGCTATTCAGTTAAAACATATACAAACATAAACATAACCAAATAGGACCTAATTAAAGTAGCAGCAATTCATAGAAATAAACAGTTGAAAATAAAACCACAAATTTGATCAATTTAAGATGTATATCTTTAAAATGGTTGCACCAGATGAATATTTGCCCAACATGTTAATTTAAGGTTAATTAATGATGAGAAAGTTCATCATTATATTAGAGATATAAAGAAACATAATTTAAAATTCCAGGGCTGAACATTTCATTTGAAATAATGCAAAAAAAAAAAACAACAAAACAACAAAAAGCAGAAAATACATGTTGATACATTTAAACTAGATCATAGTTAGACACTTTAAATAACTGGAAAAATACAAAGTAAATAATTTTTCTTAAAAATTCATAGTGAGTGCATCTAAAGAAGAAATAATACCTATATGGTGTATTTTTATGCATTTAGAACAAATATACAACTAACATTCTCTTAGGGGTGCTATGACTATTCCTGGGGCAACTACTGAACCCCTTAGCACCCTCCTGACACTGCCATTAGATGTAACAATCTGTCAAGACAAAAAAAAAACTATAATAAAAAGGAAGTCCTGTATTTAATCTAGTGATTTTAGAAACCTATTTGACTTTTACACTGTTTCTTGATAGATATATCAATGCAAGACCCATTTGGAGTTTTGATAGTAGATAAACATCTGCAACAGCTAAGAGGAACATCTGCACTAATTGCTTTTGACTGTTCTATGGATACAATCTGCAAACCAATAAAGATGGAAGAATGGTGCTTTGATACCTTATGGTGGATGTAATAGACTTAGCCTTATACTTAGACAACTTTTACTGTCATTTTTTGTATATAGAGAATGTATACAAAACAAAATGTCATTTTGTACAGCTGTCCTTAAGGTGCAGCAGTGATGAAACGGTGTGGGAGAAAAAGTTATATCTACAACTGGGATCCAAAATCAAAGAAAGTTGTATAGAAGGAGGCAGAAAGGATGCCCAAACAACTGGGATACTTGGAGCCTTAAGAGTACTTCGATGCACAAATGATCAAAAAGAGTAAACTGTGGAGTCCCACAAGGTTCATAACTGAGGTCTAAGTTATTTGTGCTTTACTTTAAATAATATTTGTTTGTTTTGTACAGTTTCAAATATATCAACATCTGTTATGTTTGCACATGATACAAATGTGTTTTTCTCATGGTAGGATATAAGATATATTGTATTATGAATATGAATTAACTCACCCTGTGCATGGTGCAGAAACTCTGGTAAATACTAAAACTAATATTGATCCAATAATCACATTTTTTTTTAGAAAAGAGTCATAAGAATAATCAATAAATAATGCTGGATAATTCTGTAATTAACAAGTCATCTTATCTGTATTCAAAATGTATTTGAGTTAAGAGAAAGGTGGTTTGCATGGCTTATTTTTGAAATTAGTAAGTAAGAAGTAAGAATTAAAATAAACATAGAGCTGTGAAATGGCCTTCAATAAAAAAGTCATATCTCAAGGTGTAAATATATAGGTGTATATAAGTCAATGTTAAATTAATGCAGGAAAAAATGTTAAAGGGAACATTTTTCTACAATTCTGGATGATGATTTCCTTATAAGCTATTTTATTTTCTTAGCTTTACAACTAATAGTAACAATGTCAAATTTAACTTTTAATCATCTTGATAAAAAATTTACTTTGGTATGTGGTGAACAACAAATTAGTGCAACACCGAGTCAAACCACAAATAAATTGTCTGGATAAAACTATTTCTTTTGATGGTTTTTATTTTTATAAATACCAACAGGCCAAAACAAAGATGTTTGAATGAAAAAGAAAATGAAAAGACTAACAAGCCTATTTTTAAATTGTAACGAGTAGAAAGTAGAGTTAATTCCAAAAAAATGTAATAAGTAAAGAAAGAAAGAAGAAAAAAAATATTATTTCAGTTAAATATAAATAGCTAAAATTTCTACCTAAGTAAGGTAACAAAGTATTTGTACTTTGTCAGACACCTCTGTATATACATATCCCAATATGGATGTTTTTTTTATTTTGTCCAGCAGGGGGCGCTGTCCAACCACTGTTGGAATCCTGTCAAAACAACATAATTTATATACAAAAACAAACAACAAAAAAAGCTGAGTTATAGAGTCACTTGTAGCATGCAAGCCTGTATTTGAGCCTTCTAATTTTTTCCAGTATAGAGGTATGGGAGGAGATAGCCCTCACCTAACCTGAGCTTACAGAAAGAAAGTATGTGGTACATTTTGTTTATCTTTTAATCTGCCATTTTCTTTATACAATTACATCACAAAACAATGTAAAACATGTCCTCATTTATTTAGCACAATTAAAAGCATCAAATGCATCATATTGATCCCTGTAGATACACTGTAGTTACAGCTCAGTGGGAAAATAAAAGGCGTTTGCTTTACTGTAATTGATTGAACTACTTCAGCTCAGCCTGCTTAGGCCAGTGGAATGAGGAAGTTTCAGCAGCAAGTGAAGAGGTCAGGTAACTTGTAATCGTGAGACAAAAAAACAAAACAAAACAAACACCTTCAGATACATATCTTATTTCAAAAACAGTAGCACAAGATTTACATAAAACCAGAAAATCAAGACATGGCAGAAGTGTTAATACTGATAACAGGAACCTGTTTGCTTTAAAGGAAGGTCAAAAATTATATAGTGGGGGGAAGGAGCTGACAGCTTTGGCTGTACTTTACTTTATGAGTAAAGGTAAATTTAGGATTAAAAGGCTATATAAATGTATTTAGAAACAGTAAACACTCACAGTATAACTGCTGTTTTCCTCTGGGTATCTGCGATTAAGTAATGCTGATATAAATACATGAGAATTACATAGTTATAAGTGATTTGACTGGAACAAAACATTTAATGTTCGGAACTAAATCAAAATGATCAAAAAGATTTTTTACAACTGAAAGTACTAAACTTCAAACAGATGTATAGATACATACAAAATGAGCTGATGATAAAACAACCGCTACCACAGAATACAATTATGCTGTAAAGCTCAATACATTTGACAGAGATCCAATGTAAACAGGTACCGGTATATATAAA